CCTTAACGTTTTGGCCACTGCAAATTTGGAATTGAAAAATAATCTAATTTAAGATGTGCAAAAATATTAGGAAATATTTTGAGCTCAACAGGGTGCTGCATTAGCATGCATGTAAATGTTAAGAATTATTACTAATGATGAATTATTAGGGATTAGGTACTTACATGTGAGAGAGAGAGAGAGAGTGAAAAGACACCTTTTGGGATTAATATTTTGAGCCCTATGTGTATATATATGTATATATACATATATGTATATATATATGTATATGTATATATATATATATATATGTACACATAATTCATCGGAAATGCAAGAGTCATTTTGCATCACTCGCTTTCTCTCATTTTTTATTTCTAAAAGTAGACACGTAAAAGTTTGGTGTCTCTTTTGTGAAGGAAAAAAGCTTACTCGATCAGGAGCACAATGTCACGGATTTTTGTCACTTTGAAGTTTGTTATGGCTTCTTCTATTAGTCCAATGTGTGCTGCAACTTCATCATATCTATGAAATATAAATATGAGTTATTATCCAATAGTGATCAAATGAGAGGAATAACATAAAAATTATAATGTTAGTGACAGTTTACCTATGAGGTATATGTCGATATTTACTCTATTAGAAAGCATGTTTATACTGAATAACTAAAAACTATACTTTGGAATGTCTTATGTATCTTTGATCTTTTTTACGGTAGTTGTGGGCAAGAAATTGAGTACCTTATCCTTCTCCATTGGTCGATATTTCTATGCAATCGTCATGAATTTGACGTTTTGCAATAACGTAAACTTTACCTTCTGATGAGTGGTTTGAATTTTTCCACATAGGCCTTATTAATGACACCATGCATCTTGGTCCCTCTATTTTTTATCATCATTAGCATGTAAACTGGAAGTAATCTAAGGGCATTATAATGTTAGTAAACAATAAGGATCATATCGAGGCTCATTTGTTCGCCACTGCCGAGCAAGATTGCATCCCATACTCTAGCGACCATTGCTTTGACTTTTCATAATTCCTTTACTGGCTTAATCTCCATGCATTTTTTTTAGTGAAAATTACAGCCGCCATCACATTTGGAGAACTGAATCACCAATGATGATAAGCATAACAGGTTCAAATGTTTGGTTGAAGACAAGATTGGTAGTCTAATATGTTGTACTGAATGGGTCTACTTATCAGAGACATTTGCTGCATATTTTCTCTAATGCATAGATACTCTGCAAAGCAGTAAGTTAATACTGGATTGTATATCCAAAATTTAATATGTGCATTTAAGCAGGGATAGTGATACTATGCATTAGAAACAATTTTTCTAGAATTATATGCGGTTCTTTACTGTTTCAAACAAAGGGAGTCATCAGGATGGATAAATCATGCAAATAGAAGAAATAATTTGATAAAAAGGTGATATAGCAGCACACCAATGGAGTATGGATTCCACGGATACAACAAAAATCACATCCTCCACCAAGGGTCTGAATCTACCAAATTACATCAACTATCAGTTCAATTAACAATGAAAGGAAATTGGAATTGTGAGATTTACCGTACTGTATCAGGGCCCCACACTGCTTTGCAAAGATCGATAGCACCTCCTATACCTGCATCCTGCATCTTCCACTTCAGAACGATAGCACATCTAACCAAAGATTTTTTTTTATTGCATAACCTAGATTGGGAATCGATTTAATAAATATAAATAAAGTGTAGTTTCAGTCACCGATTGGCGAAGCGGCCGTGAAACAGGCATGGAGCCTGGAATTGTTCTCCAGTGAAGAGAGAGAGAGAGCATGCACCAGGACGCTGCTTGCCGAGGGAGGAGATCGAAGGGGCCGAGAAACCATTGCTCACCGCAGGTAGCAACAGGACAAGCCGGGAACGAAGCCATGGTTGTATGCTCCTTGTTCTGCGCCGCCGCTGCCTTGTCCGCGGCCGCGGCAACTTTCGGGCCACGCGGAGGCTGAGGCAACGGGGAGAGGAGTTGGTACGACTTGGCATGGATAGGATACTACGTGTACGTGTCCAACTAACCAGGAGGGATTGACGATAACTAACTTGATAGAGCATTAACATTAAGTCATTAACCAAGTGAACGTGATTGGTAGATCAATTTAATATTTTATATAACAATTTGCAAGGCCGGTCAAGTTTTTTTTATGACCAAACGTTTACACTTTTTCTTTACAACAAAAATAAGTTTATTAATTTATTCATAAACGTGATGGGTCCTGATATTTTATATTAATATATTATTAACCTAGTCAACGTGATAATAGGCCAATCTAATATTTTATATTAACCAACTATGAAACAAACGTGTTTGTAATGCGGATCGAGATCTTTTCTGTATGGCCACAGTTTTTCTCTTTTTCTTTAGAAAATAGATTTTATTTAGTACTCCGTATAATGGCAGATGTGGGTAATTTTGTACAAAATAAAATAGATTCAATGATTATGGATGGCTAAGCCTTTTGATTTGATACCCGGATATTTCTGATTATTGCGAGATTATCTTGTATTTATCTATTTCTCTAGCGTGTCTGATGAGGATTACTAATAGTAAGACGAGAGAGGAAAAGGCGAGGCGGAGGGTGGAGAGTCGTACAATGCATTGGTGGGATGAAGGTGCTAGCTGGGCTGAGATAGGAAGTTTCGATGTGAAGTACCCGTTGCCATCTCTGCTCCATGGTCCCCGTTCTGACTTGTAACGGTACCAAACAAAACAGGGTGGAGTACAGTCGACACAAAACAAAGGAGGGGATTGAATATCGGTGCCCGCACGAACGAACGACGGAACGAGCACATCGCGCGGTGGCGCAGGACGGGATTGATTGCAGGTCACGAGAATCATGTCGGCAGCACCAGCAGTCCAGCACCATGTACGTAGTAGGAATAGCAGAATGTATAGGAGTAGTATAGTACTCCTACTGCTACTCTCTGCGAGGCCTGGGTTCATGGTTTCCCTGTCCCGGGAAAGCGGCTTCGTGCTTTTCGAAAAAGCCGCCTGCTAGTGGTATGTGGCCGCTTCTTGGGATACCGTATCGGAGCAGCGATCATGAGGGCGTGTCACGAGGAGGGCAGCCGTGTCGGGACCGTGTCCGAGCGCACGACCAAAAAGAGGAGCCGCGAATGAGTTCGAGACGAGTAGTAGCCGTGGCCGACTGGCCATGGAGATGGAGAGCTGAGACTGAGATCCTGCCTGTCCCGTCGATTCTGTTCGCAAGTCGCAACGACGACAACGGTCCTGTACACGTCCCTGCTCTGCACGTGCAGTGCAGGCTCACGGCTCTAACGCCGATACAGAAATCGCAGCGAGACATACTCCTATTCCGTACGTACTCCTACGTACGCCCGGGCACAGTACACGCACGACGGGATCAGATTTGCGATCAGTGATCCCCCACACCCACAGGCCACGGCGCCCCACCGAGGGAGAGCTCGAGCTGCGCCGTGTACAGCGAACTGATCGCGGCCGTGTCAGGCGGGGCCTCACCCTGACCCTCCCCTGACGTCGACGAGCGCCCACGCACAGAGGGGCAGGCGCTGAAAAAGGCGAGAAAATTTCCTTCAATGCGGCAGGGGAGGCCAGCAGAAGTGCAGGAGGCAATTTATTAAGGCCGCGTTTAGTTGCGCCCGAAATTGGGGCCGCCAGATTTTCCAGCGACACTGTAGCGCACTGTAACATTTCGTTTGTATTTGGTAATAATTGTTCAATCGTTGATTAATTAGGCTCAAAATGTTCGTCTCGCAAAGTACAACCAAACTGTGTAATTAGTTTTTGATTTCATCAACATTTAGTACTCCATGTATGTACCGCAAGTTTAATGTGATGGAGAATCTTCTTTTTGTATAGTGTTAAAATTTGGAGTTGGGGGTGAACTAAACATGGCCTAACGCGAGCGCTCGGGCCAGGCCACACGACACCCACCGACGGCAGCAATCATGGCCGCCCTCGCCAGTCGCCCTGCGAGAGGATTCGAAGCAAGAAGCGGCGTACCCGTGTGTGATACGGTGACATAGCCGTTGGGGGCCGGCCGGGGCACGGCGGCATAGGGACAGCCGGACAGAGAAGGTGGGTGACTGATGCCCGGCACGGAGAGCACGAGGCCACGACGGTGTGCGGCCGGGGCAGGAGGCAAGCGTGCGGCCGCCGAACGCTCCTCCCACGCCGCGGGTACGCGTACCGATCCAAGCAAAACAACGCAGGAAGGAACAAAAACGAGATGCCTGCTCGATCGTGCAGTTGTACCGCTTGACAATCTGTGCTCGTGCTCATGTGCTCGCACGCATGCCATGCAGATGCAGCTCGTTGGCCAAGTCACCTATACTTTGTACTAGTAGTAGTACACCAAAAAGCCGCGGCACTTTTCTTCCTCCTCATGCACAGAGACAAAAGAATTTTTAGCAGGCAGCAGTACAACTACACAAGCACGCTTCAGCTTTCGTATGGTTCCCTAACCCCCGACCCGGCCGACGCAAGGAGCCAAAACCTCACCTGCGCAGCCGCACGGGCACGGGCACACAACGCTCGGCCGATCGCCACACTGCCGCGCCTCCCGTCCGGGGCCGGCCGCAGGGGATCCGCGGCAATGCCTCGATGCCCGCGGCGGCATCTGCGGGCGGCAGCGGGACGCAACCAATCCGCGCCGCACGTACTACAAGCCAGGCCACAACCAGCCACCAGAACCAACACACCCGCCTCGAGATTCCCGCGAAAGCAACATCCCTTCCGCGTCTCCTCCTCGCTCTCCGGCGCGGCTTCCGAGGCCGGGCCGGCGTGGCCCCGGACGAAAGTAGGGAGGGCCCCCCGCCAATACATAATTCCCACGCTGCCCATCACGTGACGCGCCGGCGACCACGGAGGGTCGGAGGCCAGCCCCGCCGCTGTACACGACGTCGACGGCATCTCAGGGGGGGATTAGTTTGGCATGCACGACGTCGACGGCGGAAAAACTTTTTCTTCTCCCGGCTGCAACGTGGGTCCGAGCCACGCAGGCCTAGGCGATAGGGCCGTTACGCGCGGGCGGGGTCCCACGCGGCGCCCGCCAGCTCGCCCCAGGCCACCGCCGTGCGCCGCCGCCGGCTCGTGGCTCGGCCTCGCCCTCGCACGCGCCGGCGCGGATTGGCGGGAGGCGGCGTACACCCGCCGCCAGCTCCGACAGGCTCCGCACGCCGATGGCGCTCCTGGCGTTGCCGGAGTTGACGACGGCCGCGGAGCAGGAGTAGCGACCGGCCTCGGTGACCAGGAACTCGGCGCGGACGAACATGAGGTCGGACGGGCGCAGGTCGCTCCACCGCTGCTGCGCCGCGGGGGCCGTCTCGCCCTCGCACCCGCCCGCGGTGCTCACCAGGATGCGGTGCCCGAACCGGCGGTCGAACGCCACCGGGTCCGGCTCCGCCACCACGGCCGCCGGCTCCACCAGCAGCACCCGGTCCTTGCGCACCTTGGCGCCGTCGAAGCAGCCGACCGCCACGCCGCCGTCTGCCGACCGCCGCGAGGCCGGGCCGACGCGCCCGGGCGCGCGCACTGACCCCGTGGAGTGCCGGCCTGAGATCCTACGCCCGGACGGCGCGGGCGTTGGAGCAGGAGCAGGAGCAGGAGGCGGAGCCGGAGCCGGCTCTTTGACCGCCGCAGCAGCCGCCGCCTTAGCCTCCGGCGGGTCAGGAGGGCCCGTGCTAGACGGCTTGGGCGGCTCCGGGAGGAGGAGGACGTCCTCCGGGTCGACGCGGGAGCGGCAGAGCGGGCAGGTGGAGTGCGCGTCGAGCCACGTGTCGACGCATTCGACGTGGAAGCCGTGGCGGCACTTGGGCAGCAACCGGAGCGCCTCGGTGGGCTCGAACCGGCCGAGGCAGACGGCGCACTCGAGGCCTTCCTTCTGCCCGCGCAGCGCGCCGAAGCGGAAGACCGGGAGGGACTCGACGACGGCGCGGTCGACGCCGGAGTTCCTCCGGTCCCCGCCGCCCGCGCCGCCGGCGCTCCCGTAGGGCCCCGACGACTCCGCGGCGCTGCGCTTGCAGTGCTTGGCGTAGAGCAGGAGCAGGAACGTGATGGAGAAGACGCTGGTGAGGATGCCGACGACCACGGCTACCCCGGGGTGGAACGGCGTGGCCGAGGACGGCGGCGGCGGCGACGGCAGCGGCGACTCGATCGCGCCGTCGTAGTCCGACAGCAGGAGCCGCCGCGACCGCTCCATCGCCTCTTCCTCTCGCAGTCGCAGCGCAGGCCCGGCGAAGCTTCGCAGGCTATCAGTGGAGGTCGAGCCACACCACACGCGCTGCTGCGGTGGTGCCGGGTGTGGTGGCGCTGCCGCTGGCCGCTGCTTGCGCCACAAGCGTTCGCGATTTGTAATCAAGCGGTAGTAGGGGTAATAATAGCGGTGTAGACTACTGTACTAGAGTGAAGCGGCAGCAGGCTAGGCTACAGGCTAGCTCTTCCAGCAGTGGGGGCGGGGAGACGAGGCAGTGGGGCCTGAAAGAGTGGGCCCACGTCAGCTGCGCTGCTCCGCCGGTGAAGCCACCCGCGTGCGGCTTGTCGCCGAGTGAAGCGAGCAGAGAGAGAGTGGCATCAGTACAGTGCAGTACAGTACACAGGGGCACTGACAGTTTAGTTGTGGCACCGTGGGGCCATGTGTCAGACTATGAACGCAGTTTGTTTATTTATTTATTTTATTTTTTCCCTAGAGAAAGGCGACGAGCGCAGCACCGCAGCATTTAAGAAGGATGGGCTGGGGAGCAGAGACAGAGACCCCTGTTTCAAGCGAGTAATCTACTCCTGCTGAGCACGCATTTAAGAAGGATGGGAATGAATGCCCCCGTCCCAGAAAAAACGATCAGAGCAGAGCGCAGAGAGCGCGGCTGGTGTCGCGGGCGCGATTAGCGCCTCAGCCGCTGACACTGCTTCGGCGGGCAGCCACGGGCCCCGCATGGCAGTCATGGCAGGCGAGCGAGACGGGGTTGGTGCGAGTGGGGGTGGGGGATGTCCCGTTCCGTTCCGCCGCGCCATCCATCCAGGCATCCATGTTCGGGGACACGTGAACCTGCCCCTGCTCTGCGAATTTTGAATGTTTGCTGCCAAAACATTTTTTATTTTCGGAGGGTGCCTCGTCCGGCCGTCCCCGTGCGGCAGCAGGCAACCCGCAGCCCCAGCCCAGGACCGGCAGCACAACCAGTGCCGCACTTTCCGTTTCAGGGATTGCTGGATCCCACGCCGGTTTTAAGGCAAGGTGAGGGTTCGTGCGCACACTTGAAGATCAGTGGTGTGTTTTCAGCTGAGACCCCCCGGTTTGCTGTGCCTTGGGCGAGCATGCCCATTGTTCGCTTTGCTGCTCTGCTCTCATGTCGTCCGGCGAGTCGAAAGGAAGAGCGGTACGGTACGGAGCGCGCTCTAACCGGGGACGGGACAGCGGCGGCTCCAGTAGATCTGGATGCGCAGGCACTGTGCAAGTACACGCCAATGATAGCCCACCATGGCCACTTGCTCACTGCTCATGCTCTGCTCACCGTCAGTCGTCCGTGCCCCTGTTTCTCGCGCCTGTGTCGTCGATCCTCCTTGGGCCAGCCACACCACACCCAACTCGCCAGCTCCGAACCTCGCTCGCACTCGGCCGGCTTCTTCGTTCACCGCGGCTACCTAGTGAAACACCGGAACCCTACCTGATGGCTCGTGGCTGATTGCTGACGCCTGACTGGGGGCGTGCTCATTGCTCGACAACAGTTACGGCCGCTGTGGTGCAATAGTTCCGCGCGACGCCGCCGCGCCCAGCTTCCGTCAGGGCGGCGGGCGACATAAGTCTGTTCGGCGCGCGTCATGCTACACTGCGTGCGCTGTACGTGTAAGCTGTAAATGGAGAGAGTTACCATACCGCATGCGTCGACGACGAACCAAAGGTAGCTAGATAGCTTTGGCCTGCTGCCGCAACTGGACACGGTGTACCCTACCGGCGGCCGGCGTCTGGAGCTGCATGCGGGCCGGGGGAAGATGATGATCGATCCAGCAGCCTGGCGCCGGCAGCGCGTGTGTGGATTGGTGGGACGATGACGGCCGGAACAGTTGAGCGGCTTGTCGCCGAGCGCCGAGAGAGAGGAGGGACGACGGAGAGCGCACGTTGCATATTTGCATGCGTGCGTGGAACGGGCAGGTTACGTCGCGATCCTAGCTGCAGAGCTAGTGTAGACGTTCACTGTTGCCTCTGACGGCACACCTTGGCGCAGGGCGTCCCATGTATAGGTCCCTGGGTTGGTAGACGACGACGCGTAGGAGAAGCCGACATGATTGTGCCGAATCTACTGTCGTCTTCTCCTTGCTCAGCTTCGGCGAATGCTGCTGCCATGGTTGGTCGCTCCCGGACTCCCAGTTAAACTTTAACCCAAAGCTTCTGTTTCAGCCTCTGCATGTCAGTTTGGACTTTGGACCCCATATATGGGATACCTGGGGGAGGGAAAGGAAGGAACTCTCGAGATGTTTGGGCCAGCCTACACGGATCCCACAGCACACCCGTGGCCTTGTGCGCTCTAGATTATTTGGGCCGCACCGTCAAGATCGAACAGCAACAAGGATATAGCAGTAAATTACGGCCCGCGGTTGACGGGCAGCCGGCCTACTCAGAATTGGCCCAGATAACATGGTGATGGTGGAGGCTTCTTGAACAGTCCGCAACTCAAAAGAAATTAGTGAGGCCTTGTCCAATGGACTATTGAGGCCACTATACTGGGGGATCTGCTACCCTGCTAGACTAAGAGGACAATATAGCCCACACAACAATTTCTCTCGACAAATACTGTTTGCAGCAGTGTCTAAAAAAAAAACTGTTTGCTGCAAATGTAGCCCTGACAATGGGCCGGACTGTGGCCCAATGCCATCCTGCTAGTGCACCAAATCGGTGTTGCAGTTTCAAAAAAAAAAAAAACCCAAAACAAATCGGTCCTGCAAGCTAAAATTTTAAGGGCCAAGGTTGCGATTGCAACTGGGAATCTAGGAGACAACGAAGAAGATGTGCTTTTGTATTTTTATTATACGGTACCTCTAGTATTTTGGATGAGGCATCTTATTTTCTCTTTGTTTTGCAGCACAGTGTTGAGGAGTGGATTCTGTACTTCAAATCGTAGCATGGCCTAAAGAAGCACAAAATTAGTCCCCCGAAACTCTCGTGCTCGGGATCGTCAATGTCTATCTTCTGAACAGAGCATCTCCAAGAGATTAGATAAAAAGATTAGTCAAATTTATTAATTTAGCTACTCTCTAAAAATAGACTTGACAAAAAAAATATTAGAGTACTCCAACAGACTCTGTAAAGCCAAGAGGTTGGTTGGCTAGTGAGGAGCGAATGAGGTGGAATGAACAGCTAGTAAATTTGGAGAGTCGTTTACAAAGTCTGATGGAGATGTATTTCTTTTAATAATAGCCAAGTTTACCTTTAGAAAACGATTTTGCTAATCCCTTAAAAGAGCATCTCCAAGAGATTCTCTATATCCTTGCTAAATGCTATGAATAGAGATTGTTATAAAAAACTACCCTCCAATAGTTTTTCTAAATGGTTATCCAAATATAGCCATCTTTTATTTCGGATTTTTCGCTAGCAAAAAATAGAAGATGAGAATGCCTCTATAGAGTGCGCATGAGATATAAAAAAACTATTTGGAGAACGATCTTTATGCAGATGACTCTTCAAATGATGATTTACAGAGTGAGATTTAGAAAGGCTCTTAGAGATGCTGTCCTTTCTCAATCTATGTGCTTTATGATACTGCCATATCTTTTTTTTTTTTTTTTGTGAAATGATACTGGCACATCTATAGGCTGTTTTGGGTCAGCTTATTTCCAGCCTCTTTTTTTCTTCTTTCTTTCATGCCCATAAACTCGATATATAAGCTGGGGTAAACAAACAGCCCTTATTAGCCACGAAAGCTCTCCAATCATGAGGCTGATAACATTACCACTGGATGTGGTGTGGAACTGTTGGTATCTCACGGCTAATCAGAAATGTAAAATATCTTGCCTGGTCTAGCTAGATGACCTGTGTAAGGTGGTGTTTGGTTGTCCCTCCTAAATTTTAGTCGTTGTCCCATCAAATGTTTAAACACATACATGTAGTATTAAATATAGACTAATTACAAAACTAATTGTATAGTTTGCAACTAATTTACGAGACGAATCTTTTAAGCCTAATTAGTCTATAATTTGATAATGTGGTGCTGCAGTAAACATGTGCTAATGATGGGTTAATTAGACTTAAAAAATTATCTCGTGTAGTACTGATAGATTATGCAATTTGTTTTTTTATTAGTATCCGAATACCCCATGCAACATCCTTCCGACACACTTCCTAAATTTTAGTCACTGGAACCAAACACCACCTAACTCAGCCCAAACGAGATATTTTTGGCAAATTCGTGTACAGGTAGGCCTGGGCAGCATCCTGGCTCCACGGATAATGGCTACCTGTCGCACGGATGACACGGCAATGACTCGGATCGGGACTCGTAACGCTGCGAAGGTGGGTCAAGCGCGCAGTTTAAGATGTCATCGCTCAGGCGTTTTCGGCCACACGCAGAACAGAGAGCAATTGGCCCGTGCGAGCCTGCGTGAAGCGGTAACAAACAGTAAGCCGCATAGACGGAAGCGCGCGGGCGGGAGGCAGTGCTGTACGTGTACGACGCGTCGGGCGCGGATGGGACGAGGCCGCGGCGTGGCCTCGATGCTCGGCGCCGTATGGGCAGGGCAGCTCGCGCTCGCGGTCCCGGCCGCCGGGTTGCCTGCCTGCGCTGCACTCTTCTAGGGCGTGATTCGCATGTTTGGATGGCTGGATTCGCGTTTGGACCTGGCTGTGTGGATGCAGCGCTCGCCGCCGGGCCTGGCTGCGCGGAAACGAAATCAAAATCCGTTTCCGGCGGGCCTGGCTGGCGTGGGCGCAGCGCGCGTTCGACTGTCTCTGGTAGGCCAGGAGGAACAAAAACGCCAGCCAAACAACTCAACCTGCATGCAAGGAACCTGGCTCCCGGATGCAGGCCTGGCTGCCCACTTCTCTCAACCAATCAGGCCCCTAGACGACCCTGCTCTCCAGTCTGGCTGGCACCAGTGCGGCGCGCCTGGACAAGGCCGACAGGCGCCAGCTGTGATGTCCAAGCATACGATCCCCGTGTCTTCCTTTCCGCTCCATCTATTCGAATCAAAAGCAGCGTCGGCGCAACTTAAATG